CCCCCCCCCCCCCCCCACCAACGGCGAGCACCACCGACACCACCCCCTAAGACCTGAGCGTCGCCGCCCAACGAGCCCATTCTCATGACCGACGCCACTCACCACCAGCGCCTCCCCAAAGCCGTCGCCGCCGCCATCACCGTCCCTCCCCACCGCCTCCAGCAACGCCATAGTCGATTCCATGGTTATAGCCACCACCTCCTCTCAAATCATGGGATGGAGTTGTGGCGAGAGATATATCTTGAGATCGAGAAAAATAAATCGAGAGCGAGATAGAGAGAGCCAGAGAGAGAGCGAGAGAACCCGAGAGAGAAGAAGAATAACGGAGAAAAATAGATCTGAGAAAAACGTGAATATGTGGGTTATAAGATTTAGTGTATAAGGGCAATATAGGGATTAAAATAAATTAAGGATGTGGGTCATATATTATTTCAATCTAAGGATTTAATTAAAAAAATGGATTTAGACTTGTCATTTAGTTCAAATTAGGTTTCGTATGAGGGGCTCATAGCATATTACCCCATTAATTTATTTGTTTTAGTTAATATTTGGAAGAGAGATGTTTGAAAATTTGTTATGATAGAGAGATTTTTTGGGATTCTATTTGATTTAATTAAGGATATTTTTGCCATAATAAATATTATTAATTTATTAAAACATTAAATTTTGACTTGGATTTACACACATAAATTATAATATAGAGGGACCTATAGCAAATTGCCCCTTTTTATAAAAGAGTTTTTTAGATCTAAACCCCTTTATAAAAAAATATCTCATTATGATGTAATGTGCTAACGATAAAAGACTTGTCGAACTAAGAATGGAGGTCTGAAATATATTCTAGAATTTGATAATATGAATTCCAAATCTTTAACTCCAAACTCTCCATACAAACACAAGCACAAAACCCAAGAAACTCGATTATTACAATCACTACTATTTTAGCCCTAACATTACCTTATATATCCGACTAAGAAACAGCAATTGGACTCCTAACCGAATACTTACCCGATTTCCATAAAACGTATCCATGAGATACAGAGGTGTTGCCATTATTTGCTGATCTTCTAAACGTAATTTTGTACGTCAATTTCCGGTTCAGTTCAGTGAAATGAAGTGTCCGGGGCTCGACAATAACATCGATGCCTTGTGGTGCGACAACCTCAACATTGTAACGCCAACTAGCCTCCCCAACATTAGTCACCGTCCTCGTGTACGTCTGATCAGCTGATTCATTAGACCTAACGGAAAACGAGGGGTAGTTAAGTTGCCCCTCCGAGATTCTCGATTCGGCCGAGCAATTCACCTTACGCTGTAGAATGATGAAAATTTCTCTATGCGTGTAATTTAAACCGCAAAGGTAATGCACATAATCTTGAGGTTCGATATCATACACGAGCCCTGGATCGTTCACTCTGGCAGGATTCACATGTCCCGCACCGGTCGAGTATACATCGGCCGCGAGATGACTCTGATCGAGAATCGGTTGGTTTCCGAGATTCGTCTGGTCAGCTGTGGTCATGATTGCGGACTTTATTGTTGCTGGCGACCAATCAGGATGCGCGCTTTTGAGCAGTGCTGCAACCCCACTGAGATGCGGGCACGACATTGACGTACCTGATATAACGTTGAAGTTGCTTTTCGTGTTTGTGTTGTTTTCGACCGAATTATGCCAGGCCGCTAGAATGTTGACTCCGGGACCTATGATATCGGGCTTGAGAATTCCGGGGCTTGATGTGCTGGGGCCTCTGGATGAAAACCAAGCCACCATCGGAGATGTATTGTCCCCGATTATTGTTCCTTTGAACACAATCGACGCCGTTGGAGAAGTAGACGAGTTTAAGTAAGCCAATATTTTGATTCCATCCTCATAGTTGATATTTGTGGCGGGGAGAACGTGAGCATCTACTAATGTGCTGTAGCCATATCGCCTCGTGTTGACAATAATCATGCCGGCCCCACCGGCGTCTTTCACCGCCTGTCCTTTCCGGCGGGAAGTAGTCCCCCCGCCCACTTCACATATTACGATTTTTCCTTTCACACCCGTGTTGATCAGTGAACTCTCGCCGCAATGGCGTGAGTCGAAGTCACTCGTATTCGATCCAGGGAAAACTAGAGGAAGCTGCTTCGCGGGAAAATGCTTCGGCTGGAAACCCGATTCCCCGGTGAGCTCTAGTGCATTTCCCAGCACGGCTGTGGCCGTTAGTTTCCGGTCTGTCGTGCTGGCGCCGACGGTGAGCATCCAAGGGGCCTCGTTCGACAGTGTGGCGCTGGCGGGCCCGTTGTTCCCTGCGGAGATGCTCACCAAGATGCCGCGCTCCGTCGCGGCGAAAGCGCCGACGGCAATGTTGTCGCTGTGGAACGGCCTAGACGGCCCACCTAGTGAGACGGAGAGCACGTCCACACCATCCTCGATGGCAATGTCCATCGCCGCCAGTATGTCGCTCTCTGAGCTGCCGGAGGAGGAGCAGACTTTGTAGGCGGCTATGTGGGCCAGGGGGGCTATGCCGGCAGCAGTGCCGTTGGCCATGCCGAATATATTGGCGCCTCCAACAAAGTTGCCGGCAGCGGTGCCGGCGGTGTGCGTCCCGTGGCCGTTGGAATCAAGGGGGGTCCCGTTGCCGTTCCGGAAATGCCTTGCTCTAATGAGCTTGTTGTTGCATGCGCCGGTGAAGTTGAATTCACACACCCCTTTCCATTTCGCAGGAGGGGGAGGACCCCCTCGTCGCCGAACGAAGGATGGTCGGGGAATATTCCGGTGTCCAAAACGCCGATAATGACACCTCTGCCGTAGTTGGAATTGTTCCAAAATCCTGTATCTTGGTGTAGCCCGAGGAAATTAGGTGAGTGTGTTGTGTGTAATGGAAATATTTCTTGTGGCCTCGCGGATATGAACCCATTTTTATTATGCATTGCTTTCGCTTCGTCGCGTGTTAATTTGGCTGCGAAACCGGAGAACACATTGCGGTAGGAATAGACCATTCGTGGTGTTTGATCAGTTTCCGAAGCTAAAGTTGTCGGCAAGAAAGAAATGTACCAGGTTTCTAAGTAGTCTTGGGATTGATCATATAAGATTTGGCTGTGTGGTAAATCAACATGAACAATGTATGTTTCTAATGACATGTCATTTGCAATTGCTGTAAATAAATGAAAAATTAGGACACAAGAAAGAGATAAAAGTGGCATTTGAGACATCATAACAATATTATGCCTATGAAAATATCAGCTGATTTCTAAGGATATCTTTTTTTTCCTTTGTCTGATACATTACTGAAGCTGGGATCAAACACACATATATATAGCTGGTTAACATTTATGCTACCTAACAATGAAAAAACCAGACTACTAATAGTTCTGTTAAGATATCAATTAACTGTAAGTGTTAATTTGATAGCAGCATGTGAATGTATAAGTTATGGAATATTTGATGGGTTTGTGGCCCATATTTGAGGAGAAATTAGATGCTACACCTGATTATTTACACCGGGTGAATTTGTAAATCTATACATAATCACACACTCTTTTATGTGTATGTGTGCTCAGTAAGTAGTTATTTAATCAAATCTACAGTTCAAATCCACCTGATGTAAATGACCACTAACACGGTGAAACCTCGATAAATTAATAACCTCGCCTAAATAGTAATTTTTCTCGGTCCCTACTCGGTGAAAGCCCATTAAATTATAAGTTCGATAATTTAATATTTCGCCAAATTAATAAAGTTTTGTCAGTTCCGACTGTATTAATTATTTATAGAGGTTTAACTTAATATCAAACGAGGATATAAAACACATATTGCTATATCATGAAATTGTGTTTAATGAACAATTTAACCAAGTTCTCGAATGAGAGTTTAATTAAATTGTATGTGCAAGCAAAATGTGTAGTTCAAAATTTTCAATAGTTGTTTTTTTGCAAGTTGCTAAAAAATGTGATTTAGTGTGAAGAGAAAAAAAAAAAAAAAAAAAAAAAAAAAAAAAGAAAGAATAACCAAAAAAAAAAAAAAGGAGTTTGGCAAATATCTTAAACCATCTCCAATGGAAATGGGGTGGGTAGGGGTGGAAAAACAAAAACCCCCCCAATGGAGGGGGG